ATATTTATCCTACATTGTACGTTTACACCGGTAACATCTTGAAATGTCGTATCAGGACTCACAGTCTGTGTGGGATCATACACTCAGCCTGGTCTGGATATAGAAAATACCATCACACACGAGCTGGAGTGTACCCTTTTAACTAAATAGCAGCGATTAATCCACCCATGATGTAGTAAGGAAACTGCCGAAGAGTGCCTGAGGGACATTGGGGCACAACAACACAAGCATGATTAGAAACCGAGAACCAACTTAGTATAGTAATAAAAATGTTTAAAACCCATTTGTAATTGTCATTGGTCATGATGGTGTTTGCAGCATATATCGTAGCCTTCTAAATTATACACTTGTATGTACCTGATAGTAATAGAGTTGGGCAGACTGCCATATCATCTCGGGCGCAATACCGTATCTATCTCCTGAAAAAAACGTAAATTTAAAGTCTATCATGATAAATCAAATTTCAAAACGTTGATCCGTTAGTATTCCGTTCTATTCTGAGGGCTCGATCGGTAGATACATACATCACAATATATCTTCTCACTTGGGGTTGATGATCTGGCCAAGTTGCGAGAGCAATGCATGTACTTTTGCCTTTGGTGGGATATAGTATCGACACTGAGTACCCGAATATATGTAAACTAGTGCACGTGATACTGAGTGCATCTCTATATGTTGGTCGGTTTTTGGTGTGGCGGAGAGTGCCGGAAACCAGGGCATTCTCAATCAATACTTTATGGGACTCAAAAATGAACTTATCAGGAGACAGTAAGTATAGTGCTGATAGCAATAGTCGTATTTTGTTGGTAAAGTGGCAGGATGAGTGCGTTTCATAATTTAAGTACCAAAATTGAGCACTAAGCTATCCTCGGTTTCAAGCCGAGTATTCAGGAAATGTTTACTGTCGTCAGTATTTACCTACAACTTCCAGGTATAATGGTTTCACTTAGTATACCGTTTTACTATATTAGTTATAACTGGGCTTTTAGGTATAGCTTTATTAGTACATACCCTAATATGGTGCATCGCCATAATATCGTATACAGCCTTTCTTTACTTCTGTATATGGTTTCACTATACGTTATAGCTGGGCTTTTGGGTATTGCTTTATTGCTAATGGTGGATCGTCATACTATCGTATATAGCCGTGCTTTGCTTTTGTATATAGCTTCACTTTAAGTTGTAGCTGGGCTATTGGGTATAGCTTTATAAATATATAACCTTCATATGGTGCATTGCCATACTACCGTATACAGCCGTGCTTTGCTTTTGTATATAGCTTCACTATAAGTTGTAGCTCGGCTATTAGGTATAGCTTTATTAGTTTATAGCCTTCATATGGTGCATCGCCAAACTATCGTATATAGCCGTGCTTTGCCTTTGTATATAGCTTCACTATAAGTTAAAGTTGGGCTTATAAATACAGCTTTATTAGTATGTAGTCTTCTTATGGTGCATCGCCATACTATCGTATATAGCCGTGCTTTGCTTTTGTATATAGCTTCACTATAAGTTGAAAGTTGGGCTATTGGGTATATCTTTATTAGTATGTAGCCTTCATATGGTGCATCGCCATACTATCGTATATAGCCGTGCTTTGCTTTTGTATATAGCTTCACTATAAGTTATAGTTGGGCTATTGGGTATAGCATTATTAGTATATAGCCTTCATATGGTGCATCGCCATACTATCGTATATAGCCGTGCTTTGCTTTTGTATATAGCTTCACTTTAAGTTATAGCTGGTCTACTAGGTATAGCTTTATTAGTATATATTCTTCATATGGTGCATTGCCATACTATCGTATACAGCCGTGCATTGCTTTTGTATATAGCTTCATTATTGTGTCGAGCTGCTGTGTGTGACGTGTACTAAGGGTCTAGCCCTAACACGCCTCGGTATGTGCAGCCGGTGCACATACCATGTGCCATGAGACAGCCTTCTGTATATCTGATTAGTAGCGGTCATCCATTTACCGATGACATTGGTATTGTCCTTCACATGCCTTCATGCACCACTATCATACCTATTATCGAGCATGTCAGAAACATCACATGGCCCGTTCTGCATATATATTAGTCAGGAGCTGACCTATACCGGACATATACCGAGCTTCCGCCCTTGGTGCACCCGAGCACTCGGTCCATAATCAGCAGAGCTTTCTGCCTGACCACCCACCATAGCGTTCAAATGTACAATCGAAATCCGGTTCATAGTTGTACGACCTATTATCGAGCACACGCCATCAGTGCCACATTGCCCGTTCTGCTTCTTCTTTAGGCAGGGGCTGTCCCGTGACGGACATTTACCAAGCTTCCGCATCATCCACTTTGGCGCACCCCGGACACCCCGTCTAAAATCAGCAGTGCCGTCTGCCTGATCGTGTTGATCATCAGACCCACTATTGCATTCGAATGTTTAATCGAAATGCGATGCATAGCTGTACGGACTATTATCGAGCCCGCCATCAATGTCATATTGCCCATTCTGCTTATTCTTAAGGCAGAAGCTCTGCCATGACGGACAGATACCGAGATTCCGCATCCTCCACCGTGGCGCACCCGAGTACCCGGTCCATAATCAGCAGAGCTGTCTGCCTGACCCCGTCGATCTCCTTACCCTCCATGCTATTCATATGCTTTACCAAGGCCCTTTCCATAGCCCCCCTCTCGTCTTCATCAGCCGCCGCCTTTATCTCTGCATCCTCGACCGATATCTGATGCACGTAGGCGTGGTGCACGTGCGCGACAATCTTGACAAACTCAAAAGTGGCCTTATACCGAGAGTACCGCTTGACATTCTTCTCAGTCATCTCATCGAGCCGGTGGGCCAGCTGCGCCTCCATCGTGGGCGTGTAGCGCAGAATGGCTCTGAAATTAGACTTGTGGTTTTTCACCAGTAGGTTGTCGTTCCTCTGCTTCTTCTTGTGTGTCTTGGTACCAGCCACCACGGGCGTGGGGGGTCCAGCGTCTCCCTCCAACTCACTCTCCAACTCCACCCCATTCCGGTCACCGTGGTCTCTGACCTTATCCGTCCGGCGCTTCTTGCACGTGTTGGCTGTCGGTGCCACACCTCTGTGACTGTGCTCCCTCAGCCGCCGCTTGCCGGAGTGTACGATCCGCAGCGTAGTGGTACCGAACTTCCTCGCACTGACTCCCTCCACCGCGCCAGGCATTTCCAAGGCAAGCCCGCCACCACACCCGTTCGTACCCTTGGCCGGTGCGTGTCCGTTGATTGCTGCGTCTCCATTGACCGGTGCGTGTCCGTTGATTGCTGCGTCTCCATTGGCCCGCGCACCCTCCTGTCGCTTCGACCGGCGGGTGTGCCTTTCCTGGCTGGTCTTTGGTCTGCTGTCGACCATCTCAGTGGCACTGGGTTCCCCTTCGTAGGGTTCGGTTGCTTCCACATCCATGCTTATGCTTGCGTCCTCCCCCACACCGTCGCTGTATGCATCACCGTGCTCATCTCCATCCGGATCCTTCGTCGCACTATCTAATGAGATACCGGACGCACTCTCAACACTCCCATACGGCACAGGCTCGCTGAGTGTTGTCATATAGCGGGGGTCTATTGGCGGCAGCAGCATCAGAGATGACGGAGCGGGCAACGGAGTGCTCATCAGCTCCGCATTGAACTCCGGAGAGCTCGGGAGTTCCGGCGGAATGTACTCAATCGCCTGTGGCATGTCCTCGGCCTCTGCGTCCGGCGACTGTGCGTGTGTGTCGGGTGTCTGTGTGTGTATGTCCGGTGTCTGTGTGTGTATGTCCGGTGTCTGTGTATGTGTGTCTGTGTGTGTTTGCGCATCATTGTCTATGCCTTCGCCCGTTTCACCCGCATTGCTCTGGGCGTCTGTATCATTCGTTTGCGTGCCTGCATCTACAGTAGCACGTCGGTGTACTCTAATATTTGTATTCAGGTTCAGCCCAAACTCGTCTGTGTCGGCCGTGTTTGTGTGTGCTGTGGTTGTGTTAGTATGACTGTCGGTCCCAAAATCCAGGGGGTCCGCGCCTATGTTTGTATACATATCTAAGTTGTTCGTATTCTCAGTACTATTGAAATTCAGCGGATTGTCGGTAGACAATCTAGCCGCACCCCCCGCACCCGCAAACACGTCCATGCCTATATCGTTCGTGATATGGCGCCCGTTGTTGCTCGACTCTCCCCCATGCGCAAACATCCATGCACCCGAGCCCTGGTGCTGGTTGCCCTGAATAGGCATACCTTGACCTTGGTTGTGGCTGTGGTTGTGGTTGTTCTCATACCCGTGTGCATGTGTATTATAAGCGTGTATATGGCTGCTGGGCGGGTCCCCATCTCTGCGTGCAGGGCTGCTACTTTGCCCTAACCGCCTCAGCGCAGCCCGAAGTTCACTGATCTCCCCACGGAAGGCCGTGGTGGTTTCCCTCAGTGTGTCTGTGAGGCGTTGGGTGTAATTGCCTTCCATGCGATCCAGTGCACGCACAAACAGATGCTCCGTACTCCGCTGTAGGGCACGCATCTCGTCCATTTCTGGGCGGATATGCTGTGGAGTTGGGGGGGGGGGTGTAAACTTGGATAGTTAATCGCTATAAACCAAGTTTAGAGACCGTCATTTGATGATGACGGTGGAACTGACCGGCTAAGGGGTTTAAGTTGCTGGCGAGTTCGTTTCTTGATATTACTGTTGGACAACAAAAATCAATGGATTTCCATTTGTTAGCTGGAACGGGCTTGACACGTATTTCACAACTGTGTACAGATGCATGAAAAATATATTAATTTGTATGTTTGTACGTATCATATTTTTTTTTGTATATATTTGTACGAATCATATATTTCTTTGTATATATTTGTATATTTGTATATGTTTGTACGTATCATATATTTATATATATATGTTTGTACGAATCATATAATTCTTTGTATATATTTGTATATATTTGTACGGATCATGTAATATTTGTATATGTTAATACGTATCACATATTTATTTGTATACATTCATACGTATCGTATATTAATATGCATGTATTTCTACCTATCATATATTTATTTGTACAAATAAGTATACCTATCCCACAACTGTGTACACATACATGAAGTACACATTTATTTCTATACACAAATCATACCACGCAGCTATAAATACATACCAGCGTATCGCGAAGGTATCTGTCATGACTTCTGCGACAGTTGCGGGCCTGAGTCCCCACCCACTCCCGCCAATCACTGGATGAGAAGGGTTCGTGCTTCCAGATCGACAAGTCTGCGGGGTTGTGAATGTATAGGTTAGTTCGATATACCTTCACATGACTAATGTACATATACTCTTCTGCAGGGTATGGGTAGTACGTTGAAGCTTGGGTTACCATGCTCACAAACTGAATCATCGACAGCAACGCACTACGATATGCATTTTAAAATGCCGGTGCTAATTCAGGCAGAATTTCGAGCTTATGCTGACACAGACAAGCGAAATAGAAGAAAAAAAACACAAGTAGGCGTATTCGTATCCACGCCGTGATATTTTATACCTCCGATTAACATCAATACAAGCACCCTACACACTGGCGCATCTACATACATATATACATACATACATACAAACATACACATACGTACACAAGTAAGTACATACATACATGAATATATATATATATATATATATATATATAGTATATACTATATATATATATATATATATATATATATATATATATATATATATATATATATATATATATATATATATATATATATATATATATATATATATATATATATATATATATA